CAAGATACTTAATCAAGAAAGGCTCCACAAGGACTAGCAGAAAATATGCTGAAGAGGCTCCAGGACTGTTACCAAACATGAACTGATGACTTCTCTTTGGTGAAAACAGACTCACCTCAGACAGAAGACACCCCTTTTCCTCTTACAAACATTCAGGTGCAGAGCCAGGGATCACAGAACTGCCTATTGAGCAGACAGCCAGAGCTGCAGAGAGCACAGGGCTGCAGACACATACAGGTACCATGTCACACAGAGCTTATATCTACTTTCATCTAATTGTAGTTTAAATCCACGCTTTGAGAAGTGTATTAACCTAAAGTTGACCTGCTACACTATTATAACAATTAAAAACCATGTCTACAGCTCATACAAACCAGACAGGAGTAAATCCTGGTCCCAGTAAAGTCAAGGAGAAAAGTCACAGGAATTTTAGTGGGAACGGTTAGACCAAGTTTAGTGTCTATTGTGGTATCCGAGACTGACAAGCTTGAACCTGGCATATAGATGTAGAGAAGCTAAATTTTACTTTGAGCATTAACATTAATACTGTTTTAGAAAAGTAAATAAAACAAAGAATCATGTCCTAACATGATTCATGGTAATATATAAAAAAATCAAAATCCCTTAAGTTTCTGCCCTCAGGGTAACAAAGCCTTGAAAAAATTAACAAACCTTAAAGCTTCCAAAACCAGAAGGCAAATAAAAAGGAACAAACCACATATTTGTTTCATAACTTACATGTTTTTGTGCTCCCAAAGCTGACAACACTGCCCTTTCCACCATGTTAATGCAAGAGCTCTCCTTTGTGGAGTAGTAAAAGCCAGGTGCACAGAGGTGAATGTAACAAGGTGGACACTTACCAACTAGCAAAGGAACCAGCAGGCAGTAATTATAAATCTGCTTTCTTCAGGCTGCAGCAGGTGGACTCAAACACATTTAAAGGTCTGAGTCACCTCAGAAAAGTATAGTTGGAAAAAGTTCCTCTACCAAAATAACTCTGCAGTGGTGGAGACTGAAGAGATACTGAGTTTGCCAGGAAAAGTAGGCTCGGGAGAGGGTTTTGCCTGGTGGTTTTGGTGGTGGCTTATTCTCACCTCATGCTTTTTCATGAACTATGGTGGTTTTCACTACCCCTGCCATGCTGTTATTGTCTCTGTGTTCTGCCTGGTAGATATAAACCCATAGTGTCTCTACACTACTCTAGCTACAGCAGCAGCTCAAGTTAGGCTGCCCAGAGTTTCACTCTACTATGGGTAAGACTCCTCCTGGATCCAGTGTATCTTTAGAGAAAGTATCTACTGTAGCTTTACCCTATGCTGCAGTTTGTTATATACTGATTATTGCTGACTTTAAGCATTCAAAATTAGAAGTCAATATGACTGCTAGACTGCACATCCTAAGCATAGACCCCTGCTTTGCTGATTTGTAACAGAATTATCCTGGATCCCCAGCATCCCCCTTCAAATGGCTGCAGTGCCTTCAAGGGTACAACAGAGGTATCATCACACCCAAGGGTTTGACCTTGAACACAGCTGATCATTACAGGAGGTTGTTGGCAGATCAAAGCAGCAGCAAATTAAAGTTTCTCAGAACACTATTATCATCTGCTGAACTACTTTGTGTTATTACAAGAATGGAAAGAGAAATCAACAATACATAGTAAACATTTTCTTCAGCAGAAAATGTTGATAACAATTCAGTCTCAAGAACACCAGAGCAGTGGAAGCACACAGCCTTGGCAGATTTGCAAGGCTTCCGTTTAAAATCTCAAATCCAGTTCTGAAAACAACCTCAGATGGCCCTTAAGGAAAAGTAAATGAATATGCAGTGTGCTTCCCTGCAAAAATCAAGGACCAACTTTATTACCTCTGCACGGGCTGCAAAACAGGCTGCAACATATAACCATGCTGTAGGCACCCATGTAAGCAATACAATGCCAAACACCAAGTGAGTTTCAGTTACCCAGCCACGTAGTTATTATGGTCTAATTCACTTCTCCAGGCATTGTCTTAAATACGATGGGTGTTCACACTGAAACTGTTGTTTCTGCTAAACCAGTTAGAAGTTCTTCCTTGCACAAACCATCCCACTGCCCCACAGTTTGCTTGCCTCTGCTAGCCCCTGCACAGCTGTTCCCTCTTGAAGGATCTGACACCTCCAAGTGGCCCATCTCCCAACATTTCAGTCTTGCACATCTGAAATTCTACCCTGTTAGGACATGCACATTTAATGGGAGAAGTGCTGACACATACACTAGATGCACTGTACTTCTGAGCAGCCTTAGGATACTTCAGTGAAAGATGAGATTGTGGCCATAGCTTCTGCAATGAACAGGAGTCAGCATGCTGGTGAAGTCAGTGCACAAAAGCATTTATGAGATCTTGGAAAGAATCACATCCTGCAGTTTGAAGTGACAGTTTTATTCTGCTAGACAGAACATTCTCTGTAATTTGGACAGATATGAAATTTGTCTTTAAAGACGTTGATTTTCAGCTGTTATGTCACTTTGTTTCAGTGGTAAACAAGAGTTTCCCTATGAACAAAAATAAAAGGTCAGATAGTTGCAAGAGAGCTAATTACACAAATCTTAATTTTTACACATTTGACAAGATTTTCACATATGTGTACAAAGTTCCTATACTTAACTATTTAAGATAATTCTACTGCATCCATATTTAAAAAATACTTAGGAATTTTCAGGACAGTAAGTGAAACCTCACCATTTTAGAACATTTTAACAGTAATTAATGCAGCATCAAAAAACTTCCAACACTTTTTAATATTTCTGATATAATAGGCATAGGGAAAATATTTGATCAAGGTCCAATACATCCATGACAGAGATAGCAATAAAACCCATATACATGCTCTACGCTCTCATACCTGGTCTTCTCCTGAAGCATATATTTTTTTAAGATTTTATACAGCAAACTATTTTTTGCTACTGAAATAAAGTTAGTAAAACCACAGTAGCCTTGGTATGAAGAATTCTGGTGCAAATGTATGTATTACTAAGTGGCCCATGTCTTTTTGACATACAAAGTTCTTCTGTTACAGGTGGGCCAAAAGCTGCAGTAGATGCATCAGCCCACATGAAGAACTGGCATTATTTGCTTTGTGTACAACCCATTTCAGAAGTAAGGATCCAGCTGCTCAAACTGTCTTATCTTTGTTATTTAAATAAAATCAATCACAAAAAAGCACAAGATTTAAATCTAATAAGCACTCTTCTTGACCATCTTCATGAAAGAAGAGCCAGATGCAGCTAATGCATGCAAATTCTGGATTTGTTACTTCCTAGCAGTTCTTTGTTCCAACAACAGCACCTGTATTACAGCAGTTCACAGGAAGTGAAAGTCTCTGCAAATGCAAAATATTCTTCATGCTTAAAAATAAAGTCACCTCTGAAGAACAACTGTTAACTATGAACTTAAACTACATTGCACTGCATAAAGACTGTTAACAAGTTAAAATTTATGTTTCCTCATTTACTATGGTTGAACTACTTTGTCATGAAAATTGCTTAGAATCTGAGATAGGAGAGGTCTAAGTCACTTGACAGTATTACCTATTTTTTTTTTGAGGACACACTTTTGTCACTATTTCTGCATTGTGATGGAAAGGATTATGTCTAAGCATCCTCTAGAGCACAAACTAGAGGATGTAATCTTTTGTTTACAAAGTCTCCAGGAAATATGGTGCCTCACCTTGCAGTTACCAGACTCAAGGTGAAATGGAAACCAGAAGGAATATGATTGCTTACAATGGTTCCGACATTCCCTGAATGTCAGAACTGAGATCAGTTGTGCAACATCTATTAACTTACTGACAGCCACAGGGAGAGAATAAAATATGGAAGGAATCTAAAGGTGCCAGTCTGATGGCTCCACAGGTGTGTTCACACATACCCTGAAGCACCCATTTTGGCAAGGTCCAACAGATCCATAAACAAGAATCTCTGATCATCTCTGTCCTGAAGTCAATCAACTCCAAGCTCTCCACAAGATATTGCAATTGCCACCATCCTTGGAAGACCTTGTTACTTACAGAACTGCCAAGTTCACTCAGGACTGGAAAACCTGTATCAACTTACTCTCCTCTTCTACCTCAGTGCTTTCACCTGCAAGCATTTCCCACCCCCATATGGATGCCATAAGGTAAAGTTTTAGAGCACTTTTTATTCCTGTGAACTCTTCAGAACTTAGTACCATCTCAGTAAAAAGGTGCTTCATCTCTCAAATACCAGAGCAGTACTTTGAAAGCAGACATTCAGTTTCCTTTCAGAATAGCTGAAGTGTAGGCTGCTTTCTCCATCTAATTTTCAATACAACTGCTGTTAGGAGCAAGAACATCTTACCTTTTATTATAAGCTATTAACTGTATTTCTAAAAAAGACTGTTAAATACCTTCTACTTAAGCTCTCACCTATACATCTCAGAGCTCCTTTAAAAGAGAGGCAATTATTTTAAACCTCCTGAAAAGCATAAATCCATCTAAACTTTAGATCTTGATTCTTATTACCCATTCTTGACTTTGAAGCCTCACCAACAGCACACAAGTTTTATTTTGCTTTCCCTATCCACCACTCTTCTCCAGAATTCTACATATCTAAGGAGTTAAAAACTGCCCAGGCACTCACCAAAAAACTTGAGCTCCCATCTACAGTAGTCACAAGTGACTTACAAACCCATTCTCCACTCAAATAAGAGGCTGTTTTGGTAAGGCAAAGATTTATTTATCAATTTTCATGTATTGTGTCAGACCAACTGATAAGATATTTATACAGCAGTTTGAAATACACAGTATTTGCATTTTATACAAGCAACTAAGCACAGCCTGTAATAAGTTTTCTATGCAGTATCCAGATACTCCCACTGCTACATAATTCCAGTTAAAAACCAACATCTGTAATGCTTCCACGAGAATTTCTATACCTGAGAAGTTTTAGTATATCCTTTCAAGAGGAAGTCTGCAATTAAAAACCACATACATAAGCCTATTTAAGGTTGACATCCCAGTTGCAAATTATTTGCTTCCTTTGAAGCAAGATCTGATATACTCTCCTTTAAGCCACATGATACTTGCGATGGCTGTTCTTCAGAAGTGCTGTCTGCATCATCTCCACAGTTAAGCTCTTCATTTTCTTGTTTGGATTCGTCTAGAGCCAGACTCTTTGGTGTCTCGAGATTGTCAGGTGCTTGCCCAGTTAGCCTCTAGAAGGAAACAGAGGAGAGGGTGAACTTAACACTTGTTCTACTTAATAGCCAGTGAAGTAGGACTGTGTATATTGAATTAAGCAAACTAATTATCTTCATTTGGAGATTGCCAATATAATTAAAACATTCCTCAGTCACAAAAATCTTAAAGACTTCAACTCAAATTGCAACCTCTAACCCACAGACCACACCTGCTTTGGTGACTGTTAAGTCTTCCTTAGGTTCTTCAGTAGGACAAGTTTTATCTTAGTCAACATAAAATATGGGAAACAGCTTCAAGTTAAATATTACTATAGTACTATATAGGTTTAATTTTAGGAAAATTACTATACAACAGATTAAGTTCATAATTTTAAATCAGAGATAATGAAGCTACATTAAGACTAGATGAACTCAAAGATGCAGCAGTTTCCAGCACTTGATTATCAAACTAGAAGTTCCTCACCTAACCTGATCCAAGGAAAAAAACCCAGAACTTTAAGAGGCTGCTTTTAAGGCTTCTGATTGCTTGACATATCTTTTAATGCTCATTAAAGCCTTAGAAGTGAGCAGCTTACAACTAAGTGAACTTAACTGTTGAGGAACTGCAGAGAAGCTTCTAACATTAGTTCTTTTAAGTCCTTAAGTCATTGAATTTCTGCCTGTGGGTTTATCACTTACAAGCAGCACTCCCTGAATACCAAAAAAATTTCAAGTGTAGTAGATTAGTGCGTCTTTCAAGAGTGATATAAATAACTGCACTACCTGAAGATTAACTTGATCAAGTTTACTTCCTGATTAATCAAGTTGCTTGCAATAAACTTCTATTTTATTTCCACCTCCCCAGGCTAATCAAAGAATCAAAGTATTTGCCAGGCACTCAGCTTCATATTCCAGTTGAGAGCTCATTCACTGTAAAAACAACCTAGCTAATAATTTTAGGTTCCATGGCTAGCCAAGGTTCCATGGCTACCTATTTATCACATCTTCAGAGGCTGTTACAGACAATCTACTCCTGGTAGAGGAGTCATGGAATCAGTGACACAACTACCTGTCCCCAAGGAATTCTCACAAGAAGCTTTTTTGAAATTTACAGCTTTATGAACCCTACAGACCCTGTGGATTAGCCCTTTTTGGACCACAAAACTGGCAATTCCCCAGTGAAACCTTAATTTTAAAGAGCATAGGTGCTCCTTTCTCCCTCTCACTGCTCCATTTTATGCCCCTGCTGTTTCAAGTTTAGTTCAAAGGACACAGCCAGGACAAACACTTCATTTAGCCAGCAGCCTCACACAACCTATTAAGCATTTGTATTTAATTCATCTCAGAAAAGTGAAAATTAACTCTTCCTTTCCATGTCACCATCTCTAACATGCAAAGCCTGTTCTGTTTAAACAACAGGTTGACTCATCCCTTCAGAAAACACCCCTCTTAAGTACTTTCTCATTACTCCTGTGGATTTTAAGCTGGAAACCTCATCCTCTAGAAAGGGCTTTATGCCTCTGGACTGGAGCAATCCCACAGGAGACAGCTTATACAATAATTTAAAATTAGGAGCTGTGTGAAAACACAGAAGTCATGAATCATTAAAAATATCTTTGCTGGTTTCTCAATTTTTCATTCTACAACATTAACTGAAAATTCAAGTACCTCAATCATGCTGGTCATATAATGCACATGTTCAGCAAGGGACATCAGCTCTTCATTTTCTTCTTTTAGGCGAGCAATTTCACCATCTCTCTGTTCAATTTCTTTGTGCAGCTGAGTTCAAATAACAAAATGTTAAAACAGGAAGACAATAGCCAGTGGTGAAGAAGCCAATTATCTGTCACTAGCTACCTTTTCATTTTCTTGAAGCACTTCATACAGAGCCTTCCTCCTTTCTTCAGCCACTTCTTTCCAATACTGAGATGAAGGGCTTCCTGAAGGAAGAAGCTATAGTAAGTCTGTGCTAACACTGAATTCTTGAGATTACCTTAAGGTATCTAACTTGTATATAAGTGTTCTATAAAGTAGGATAATAAGAACTCACTCTGTAGTGTTTTCCCAAAGATTAGTTGTAAATTTACAACTATAGACATAGTTTTACAGAAAACAGGAGATCCCACACTGTACTAATAGTAATACAGGCAGAGCCTTCAAGAAGCTGCCTCAAGCATGGCAGCAGGCTTTGCAAGATGGTCACATTTGCAATGGTCAGTCTTAATCCATACTTTGTGGAAGACAGAATTCTTATCCCCAAATTCCTCTCCATGCACTGGTGCTTTATCAGTCTCCCAATGAACTTGAGAGACTTTCAAACTGGTTCTGAGAAACTGCACACACAACACAATGCCAAAATAGACTTTAATTTCAACTTAATTATATAACTTGCAAGCCTGTAGCTAAGCCAAAGTAACAAACTACAAGACTTCTTAACACTGCTGCACAGAGTTTATGGTAACCAGCAGCTGAGAACCATTCTGAAACATTAGATATCTATACTGTTTACTACAGAGGATAAGTATCATTAATTCCTGATAGGCACTATAAGCTCTTATCTAACTGACAAAGGAACCATGTTTCAAGTGATATTCCAATGGGAGCATAGCAATAAGTGCAGAAAAACATTTCAGGAATTACCACATACCTTTTACCATGAGATCTACAGCTTCAACAACATCATTCATATTCTCATTTTCTTGCTCCTTGTCCACAGACACCTCAGCTTTACAAGCCTTTGAGTTGAACTTGTTATTCCAGAGTTTCCTTCTGACTGAAGATTTCTTCTGCACAAAACACAGGCAGGTTTAACTTCACAGCAATGTTTCTTCTTTTTTTAACACAAACTTGTAGGTCTGCTCACCAATAATTGCAAAGAAGCCTTTATAAACCCCCAATTTCTTCACATTATAGTTCTAGTTTGCAGACATCATCCTTAAAACCCACAGGTTTAACACAAGAAAAGTACCAAACATTTTCCTGAAGTACTCAGAAATAGCTAGTTTTTAATATTGTTTATTACTAGAATAATATTAAGCTGAAGTTGTGTCACACTAGTTAGGGGATTATGTGTTTTTCAAATATATTATTTTTCAAAAGCACTTCATTACAAGCAGAAATAATTGCACACCTACAGATATGCAATATAATTAGATAAAATAATAAATATAATGATAAATTAATATAATAAATATAATATTATAAAATAATAAATAAATATAATAAAAATAATTAACCTACAGGTTATCTTCCAATTCATACCTCATTTCGTCTGCCAACCAGGCAACCTGTTGCTGAAGGCTGAATCATTTTAAGAGTCCTTCTTGGGGCAGCATTGCATGTGGTGTCTGTGAGGTACTTCTAAAAAGACAAATATGGCTTCAGACCGTTGCCACTCTTCTCTACATGAACTGAAACTCAGGAATTTGTCATGCTTCCATTAAGGTAACCCACAGTTCATCTTGTCAAGACAAAGTTGATACCTTAGTCTATGCTAAGGCTTGTACAAAGGGGATCTAGTTATTTGTAGAAGAGGCAGACCTTAACCACATGAAGCAATACTGAGTGTTTGCCTCTTAGAAAACACTTGCCATTCATAAAGGAACCTGGATAGGTCTTATAGCAGAAACATTCCAACTAGATTTCAAGGACAGTTACAGTGTAGTGTGACACAGTAAACTTCAGCTGAAGCTCCCCAAGTTGTATTTGACAACAGCAGTATTAGACTCCAGGGGAGAGACAAAAGTGACTGCAATTGCAAGTTTACTTGGCAAAGTCACACAATCACTTCAGGCAGTACCTATTTTTGTTACCTGTGAACACACCCTCAAGTGGTGTTCATTTAAACTGATGGGTTGCTTCCATTATCCATTAAAATGGACCTAAAGCTTCCTTCTTCCACCCAGACAGGCCATTATTTTGTATAAACAGCATGTTTATCACCTTTCCTGTCACACACAAATACCTATTTCCTGCACTAAAGCTTTCTGATTGGGCTGGTTACACTGCCACCAAGGGACAGCAAACAATGGCAGACAACCAAGCAAGGACAGCCAGAACACAATGCCACACCAGCGTGAGAAAGTTACTGATTCACACCGTACTTCATATGACAAGAGTTCACCTTTCCCACGGTAGTTTCTGCCACCAATTATCCTACTGTTGAACTAAAGGACAAACACTAACTGCTGTGGGAACAAGAATCACACTGTGTCATACACTGCTTGCTGCTATTGAAGGTTAGAGTTAAGTACAGTCTGCCAAGAAATTATTTACTAATACTTGAGTAAACCCATCACATGTAGGCATCTGAAAATCCAAAAAGCCAGACCGAAATTTATGCCCTAGAGTCACTACAGGACATGGTTCCCATGTATGTAAGTCAGACTTATAAATCAGCAATTTCCACTAATACCAGGAATTCTCATTACAGTCACTCTATCCCACATGACAGAGGGCTATCAGCCTCTATTTTATATGGCATTTGTACAACATTGATTGGGGCCTACATTAAAAGATTTACCAGAAGATTCTTGTAACAGGACTAGAATAGGTATGAACCGTAGTGACTAGAAGTCACTTCTTAAAAACTTAAATCCTTTAAGTACTTTTGCCCAATTCCAAGGCAACTATGGTTCACAAGAGTGGCTTTAGAAACAAAACTGCCTGCATGAATACTTCAGTTAAAGCATGCTCAAGTCAAGATAGATTTAACTCTAAGTTCATCCCTATGAAGGACAGGCTACAGAACCTACTCTGCAAGCCCTCAGCAAGTCAGACTGATTCAGTAACAGAACTACAGCAGGTTACCAGCACCTAAAAAAAAAAAATCATTGAAAGACAACAAGCTCAGTGGCAAACTAAAAAAGACTTGCTGAACAATAAAAAAAAAGTAGTCATAAGTACATATGCCCAAGCAGAACAGAGTGTTCCCAAGCCACCCAGCCTGCCAGGAGGTTACTCAAGCCAACAGGACACAAGCCAGGTGGAAGCAGCGTGCAACAGATCCCTTTGTATTCCCTCAGTGGATACAAAACCTGTGTCAGACAGAGGCACCGTTTCCCAGAGAACTGAGTGCAAGCCTCTGAGCAGAGCAAGTTCTATCTTTGAGATACTCTTGATAAATTTCCTCTTCTATTTTCTACCCCTTATCTGCTCCCATATGCTAGCTTCGAGCCTTTAGAGCCTATACCTGCAGAGATCCTGATGACTTTTCTGCATTCAGTTTCTGCTTCATTTTGGAATTCATAGGATCACTGCAAAAAAAAAAAAAAAACCACAGTAAGAAATGACCAACATCCAGCTGCGGCCGAAGTTCAGGGGCCGCAGTTACAGAACATGACAGTTTCAGCTCATCCACTTTTAGGACATACACAGAATTCGGTCCCGGCGCGGCCAGCAGCCTCCTCCGGAGCCCCCGCAGCCCCTCCCGGGGCCCCTC